AGAGAGAGAGAGAGAGAGAGAGAGAGAGAGAGAGAGAGAGAGAGAGAGAGCTCACCTTTAGTATCCTCGGAATCAGGTACGTGATAGGAGGAACCATGATCTGCTGATTCCTTGTTGGCCATTTTGTTGTTGATTTAGAGTTATTGTTGATGTTGTGGTTGGTGGTGGTGGTGTTATTGTTGATGTTGCTGTTGGTTATGGTGTTATTGTTGATGTTGTTGTTGTTGTTGTTGTTGTTGTTGTTGTTGTTGTTTTGTTTCGTTTTTGTTGGTGGTGGTGGTGGTGGTTGTGGTGTTATTGTTGATGTTATTGTTCTTATTGTTGTTGGTGGTGTTATTCTTATTGTTGTTGTTGTTGTTGTTGTTGTTGTTGTTGTTGTTGTTGTCGTCGTCGATGAGTGGTGGTCAAGGCGGTGACTCAATGATGGCCAGTCACTTTGATGTTGTTTAACTGATGTTATTAATGCTGCTGTTGTTGTTGCTGTTGTTGATGTGACTGGATACTGTTGTTGCTTTCATTGTTGCTGTTGTTGATGTGACTGATGTTGTTGTTGCTGTTGTTATTGTAATGGTGTTGTTGTTGCTGTTGATGTTGTTGTTATTGTTTTTATTATAGTGTTGTTGTTGTTGTTGTTGGTGATGTTGTCGTCGTTTACTTCTGGCGTATGACGCCCACGGCCACGTTTTCTGACAGCGAACAGAGGCTTTGGTTACCCTGAAAAGAAGAAAAGGGATAAGAAAATTAGAAGACAGCTTGGTGAAATCAGGCGCTTGTCAAAATAATGGAAGTGCAAAAACTGGTATTTGTTTGAGAATTTCCATCGAATTTTTTTTTCTGGCTCACAATCTTTCATGTCCATTAAAGAACACGTCACTTCTGAGTGGATTTTACTGAAAAAAAACACATTGATTAAATGCACCGCCACCACCACCACCAACAACAACACAAATTCTGTTTCCACGGACTCTCAAGCTAAGAAATAACTAGACAGCATGGAATTAGGAGGAAGCGAAAATTAGTCATCGGTTGTACTTTCAGTTTCAGATTCAACCTTTCTTCCTAGAATGAACCTGGCTCCTTCTCCCAACACAACGCCAGCTTAATTATAGAGTAGGTGTTGCCCAAACCTCATCCCTCCTCCCGCCTGCCTACTCCTCCCCTTTCCTTCCATCTTTCCCCTTTTCGCCCCCCCCCCTCCTCTTGCACCCCTTTCCCCCTCCCTTTCCTCTCTTCCTTCCATCTTTCCCCTTTCCGCCTCCCCTCCTCTTGCACCCCTTTCCCTCTTCCTTTCCTCTCTTCCTTCCATCTTTCCCCTTCCCAACTACATAAGATCATATTATGAGCAGGCGAGACACAAGTTGGTTGCTTTCACGTTAGTTCACAGCTCTGCTTGTTTTCACATCATGGTGAAGTCTTAGTTTTTAGTTTTAGTAGAGGTTTTACCGCGCTCGCAACTGCATAAGATCATATGAGCGCCTGCACAAACACACACACATACACACACATACACACACACATACACGCCTGCACACAAAACACACACACACAGACACACATACAGACACACACATACACACATAAACACACACATACACACACACGCACACATGCACACATCACCCCCCCCCTCATCTTTCCCCTTCCCATCCCTCTTCTCCTTCCCCTCCCCTATCCATTTTTTTGTGCTAATTATACCCGTGAAACCCGGAAAACCTCACCTCATTCAGTCGCAAATATCTCGACTTCCATTCAAATTTGTATTTTCTTCATCGAAAGATAGACAAATGAACAAGCTTTAAGATAATACCAATTTATTCCACATGCCTAAAAATTGACGAGAACCTGATTTTACCGTGTCGTGACACAAATACACACGAACACAATCATAATGTGTTGCTAGTTATGACAGCGTTGAATCACGACATGACATTAAACAATGTTAGGTTAAACAGCACAATTGTACATATGTGAGGCAGCGTGGTGGAATCAGGCTCTCGTCAATTTTTGGGCACATCGAGTTATTGGTATCATCTTAAAGCTTGTTCACTTGTCTTTATTTGGATGAAAAAAATATCCGTTTATCTTAAATACAAGTCGAGATATTTGAGAATGAAGGATGTGGGGGTCACCTGTTTTCAGAGGTAAAATTAGTGAGAAAATGGCCGCCAAAGATTAATTATTTCCTTAGCTTAAGAGTCCGTGGTATCTGAAAATTTACGTCTTTTGTACCTTTAATCAACGTTTTTCAGAAAAATCCACACAGAAATGAGTTCTTTAATGGGCATGAAAGGTGTTGAACCCAAAAACAAAATTTTGAAAAAAATTCTCAAACCTGTTGAAAAATAGAAGTTTCTTCACTTTGATTATTTTGACGAGAGCCTGATTCCACCACGCTGCCTCACATATTGTTTGGAATCGGTAACAACACAAATTACTGCACAAAAAACCTTCTACTTCTAGTTTAGTTACATCGATAGCTACATACAGACTTCAACAAAAGTTAAGGACCACTTGCAATCTCTCTGAGTGGTCTTCTAGTGGCGTGATGGTGCTGCCTCAGGAGGACAATGACAGAGTATGACACAGCAAGCCTTCTGGCAATTTCTCGGGCTCCAACTCCATCACCCAGCCATGCCATAGCTCTGGCACAATCAAAGTCTCTCAGTTTTCGTCTCGGTGGAATGTTGATGCGATACCGGATTTTGCGCACCAGAGTGAGCACAGTTCGAGACCGTACGTCCGTTTATGACGTGGGCCAGAAATTTTAACTGAGGAAGGTCCTTGGTGAGGCACACAAGCCGATAAAAAACAGCAAATTTGGTTCAAATTCCCCGAGGATTTCCGTGCTGCACGTGGTGGTTTTGGTTCTTTAGGAGGCTTTGCAGTACGCGTTGGTAACCCATTAACACTTTTAGAGCTAAAATTTTGAAACATATCTAGCTGTTCTTTTTTTCGGATATTTTTAAAAATTAGGACTGTCTGTCAAAGTGGTCCTTAACTTTTGTTGAAGTCTGTAGAATACAGCGTAAAACTTATTGTCTGTTTGTTAGCTATGACATCTTAGAATCACGACATGACACGCAATTTAAAGTTCAACAGCACAAACACTGTGGTCTATATTATTTTGCGTCCGTCATTACATAAAGTACATAAAAAAACACGTTCTTGTATAGATCTAGTTACGTTGGTTACTTCCCGAATAAATACACACGAACACAATTATCGTGTGTTGCTAGTTATGACAGCTTTGAATCACGAGAAAACATTATGCAATGTAAGGTTCAACAGCATAATAAGCACTATCGTCCGTATCATTTTGCATCGGTTACAACACAAATTAATGCACAAAAACTCTCTAGTTACGTCTGTCGCTAGATAGAATATAACGTAAAACCTATTGTCTCTTTGTTAGTTAAAGCAGCGTAGAATCACGACATGACGTGCACTGTAAGGTTCGACAGCGTAAACACAAGGCTATCGTCTATATAATAATAAAATAATAATAATAATAATAATAATAATAATAATAT